ACAGCTATAATCCCACATCCACTTTTAGAAATTTTTTAAGGTAATATATCAATGGAACTAAAGTTAGCTTCCATTTTCGATTTTCTTTACTCTCTATCTGTTAATTTAACACTGTCCTTAGGTGTCGCGACAAAAGGACACGGGTATTTGGATGCGCGACAAAAGGACGCAGATATTAGGATGCATCAAATTTGGGCACATGTAAAATTTGACGCGCAACAAAAGGACGCATAGTTATTTTCCTTCACATTTCATCCAGGCTTCGGACTGGCAGTAAAAATACTGGCGTGTTTTAAAAGTCAATGTGGTTGTAGCGGCCATTGTCTTGTCAATAACACTTTTTTATTTTTTTTTATTTTGTATTTTGATTAATATTTAAATTTGGTAACGGTGGCAGGTTTTAAATGTGTAATTGTAAGTTTTGTGCAACTACTCGTAACTTATTCTAACAGTGCTCTCGGAAACAATTGTTTCAATAATTTTTGCGGTGTCTTTGAACACTTTTTTGTGCGTCGGCAATGTACTCTGCTTTTAAATACCGAACAAAAAACAAATTTGAACTAGTGTGAAGCAAATTATTTACTACGCGTCCTTTTCGCAAGAGAGATCTAATATCGCAACCATTTCTATTGGTTCTCTGAGTCTGACAAAGACTTCAACAGCTCTCCCGCTTTGAGGGTCTTTCATTGGCTTTTACTTTTTCAAAGTTATCAATAACGTTTAAAAATGTTCACGCGCTTTATGAATGCGCAAGTTAAGAGCACTTAAATGTCTTTAGACCTCAAAATGAGTCTTAGAGGGTTCCTAAGAGCTTTCCCGAAGCTTTGAGAGATCTTCAAATTTTCCCTCGTCTTCAAAAGCCGGATCATTGAAAGCGAGTATTAGAAATTGACAACTTTTCAAATACTTAAGAGGCTTCTAAGAATTTATAAAATCAAAATTTGTGCTTTAATAGTATATTAAGAAACAAAGTGTATAATAAGATTGTAAGTGTTTTAAAGACCAATTATACACGTGTTTCTTATAGTCTCTTTATTGTACCTGCAATATAGTTTAAAAATAAGGGAAATTATCGACATATCGACTTTCTACCCGAATACATTTCTGATTAATAATAATAATAATAATAATAATAAATGCCTTTATTTCATTACCTTGCATAAATATATAAAGTAAATGTAAAACAAAATGTAAAACAAAAATTTCAATTAAGGTAAAGAAACCTAGTGGCGAGGTTCAGCATTGGGAGACAGCTCCTCTTGCTGATCTTCCACCTAACCACGAAAACATAACTAACCAAAAAGAAAAGAAAAAGATGACAAGTTGCAAGGTTTACTTAGACAATGTAAATTACGTATAATATGCCCTGGCGAGATGATGAAAGAAAAAGTATGAAGAACAATACAGAAACACACAGTGGGAATAAAGAAAAATGCTATAAAGAGTAAATAAAATAAAACTGGAACCAAACGAAACTTGGCATTATCTCCTAGAACGACAGTTTAATGTTTGCTTGAATATTCTTTTAAACGGTTTCATATGAAGCGATGTAAGCGAACTCGGAAGACTATTATAAAGATTGGCAATTTGATAACTGAAAGATCTTTTAAAAAGGGACGTTCTGTGTTTAATAATTGATAGGCTTCCTTTGAACCTAATATTCACATTATGTACCTACGTCCGTTCGGTACGAAATTTTATTGTACAGGTAAGCAGGGGTTTTAAACAATATTATACTGTGGAATAAACAGGCTTTGTGTAACTCTCTCCTATCCTTCATAGTCAGCCATTTAATTTCTTTAATTTGATCTCCACAGCTATTAAATTTTTTCATACCAAATATGAGACGCACGCAGGAGTTTTGCAATGTTTGTATTCTCTTACTATCCTTTATAGTATACAAGCATCATAAAGTGTATCGCAGTAGTTTAAATGGGATAATACTAGAGATTCACATAGTAAGGTTTTGATCTTCTTATTCAGTACGTGGCGATTCATAAATATCATTTTTAAGTTACAATATGCATTTTGTAAGACCTTTGAAATATGATAGTTAAACCTTAAACCTTCATCCATGAGCAATCCTAATTTCCTAACGCGGGTAGATAACGAGATAGGCGTGCCGTTAATATCTATGGATATTAAATTTTTTCATACCCAAATAAGATTGCACAAGATTTGTTAGGATTAACAAAGAGTGCTTCTGAGAAAAACTAAATACATTATTAAGGTCTTCTTTAATCTTGTCACAAGCTGTAAGAACCTCTTTCTCATCAAACGTTAAATAAATCTGCAGATCCTCTGCGTATTTATGATAATTACAGAACTTTAAACAAGAGAAAAGTCGCGAGGAATATATAAGAAATAGCAGAGGGCCTAAATTCCACCCCTGCGGTACACCTCTCCCTGAAACAAAGCTTTTGTTTGACAATTTGTTATGCAATTGCACAATTTGCGACCGGTACGATAAATATGATTTAAAAAATGTGATTGTTGTGCAATCAAACCCAATATGTTTAAAGATAGCAAAAAGCACTTTGTGATCAAGAGTGTCAAACGCACGTGTAAAATCGAGCAAAACCAAAATAGTTAATTTATTGTCATCAATCCCTTTAAAAATATTATCAGTTACGTCTAATAACGCAGTTTGACAACTGTGCAATTTACGAAATCCCGATTGGAACATGGGCAAAGTGTTGTGCCTATTCAAATAATCTTTTAGTTGAACTTCAATTAATTTCTCAAAAATTTTAGACAAAAATGGTAAAATACTTATTTAATTTAATTTAATTTTATCCCTCTCTTGTTTTGGGCCCTCAACAGGCATACGCCCAATTACAGAGTGACCCGCAAATGCTATTTAGAGGTGCCTCTGCAGAAGGTCTTAAGTTGGTCTATACTACTCCGGTATTTACCTTACGAATTAGAAAAACTGCAGGAAAACCTAATTCGGAGTAGCCGGTAGAATGCTCGGAACTGGTCTAAGGTAATTTCCATCTCCGCCACAGATGAAAAATTCACCTCAACTCAGGTTCGAACACCCGACCTCCGGATTTATAACCCAATGCTCTACCACTGAGCCATAAATACGTAGGCCTCAATTCATTGTAGCTAGTTACATGATTCTGTTTTGGTATAGGTATAACTAAGGCGTCCTTCCAGGCGTTGGGAAATATTGATCTAGATAGGCAATAATTAAATATGTGGGCTAAATGAGGTAAGATATAGGGTGTACATAGTTTAACCATTTGAGCTCCAATCCCGTCATTAAATGGACTTATATTCGAAATTTCATAATTACCATGAAAATGTCACTTTAAGTTTGTTTACGAAATTACCGTATTTAGAAATAAAATGAATTTGATATAACAATATAATAGACCGTTCATTCAGTGGCTTATTGCAGAAGCAAAAGAAAAGTTGCTACTTAAAAAAGGCAGTAAAATGATTGAAAAAGAATATGTGAAGTTGTTGCGATGAATAAATAAGAAACATCTTACAGATTTGGCAGCATATGCCACAGCTATAAGCCAAAGAAATCTTTTGCATTTACAGAAAGCGACCTAAGAAGATTTTTTAGTTCAGTTCCAGGTGACAGTGTCATACGTCATATTTGAGGTACATTACTTAGCAACGTTTAAAGCACTAGCATTCTTGGCGCAAATCAATCCGGTCGCGTGTCGGAAAAGGATTGCGTTGACGTATTACTATTAAAATTCCTTTACTATGTGAATTAATACCTACATCTGATAGCATTTACTGTGATTTAATTTTTAGTAATTATTTATTCGTGTCACTACATAATAATATTTAAAAATAATTAACTCCGGTTTTGTGTCACCTTCTTAATCCCACTCTGACCCTTTGTCGCCGAGGATACCTTCATAAAAATCGAGTAATACCTCATTTGGAAGGTATTTTCACCCCACATTTTTGAGTTTTATTTTTTTAAATCGATCGATCTGTTATTGAAATATTCGAAACCGTTGACCACCCGTAAATCTTATAGCTGTACCAGGGATCGAGTTTTTTTCCAAATTTGTTTGGTAGGACAACGATAATCAAAGTAATTCGACTATCCCATGATCTGCAGAGATTAATGCGAAATCGTGTCAAATAAAACAGGAAACGAAATCCTCGAGTGTCGAGTCCGTAGGAATTTCCTCCGAGCTCGCATTGTCTAAAGAAATTCGGATAACTGATTCCGCGACCGGCCCATTGTTTATCAAATGACTCTTAAGCTAAATTTGCAGAGGTCAAATAATTTTATGTTCACGTTTTATTTAAATGTTAGCTTTTAAGTATACTTGTCAACTATTTATTAATAAACATGAAGCAAATTTATCGTTTTATTTCTAAATTGAAACGTACAGTAGGTAGGCTACCTTTAAAAAGATCAAAAACAAGCTCCTTAGCTAATGTCCAATCTTTGTTTCTATTTCGATGATATGGTTGATACATCTACTTCCACATTTTTTCCTACAAGCAACCACCCGTAATTATACAGGTACCAACTACGACTCCCGAAATGGTTAGCAATAAATCCTTAAAATCTCATTTTCGCCAAGGAACGAGGTCTTTAATTTCTATTCCCGTCGAGCCAATTGTTTTCTCTTTGTTTCCAAACTGTATTAAGGTCTAAAGCTTAATGATGCGAGTATGAGACGGGGTTTCCTTGAATGTACCTGCAGTAGAAAACAGACGTTGTGAATTTAATTTCGATTAACTTGGTCCGATAGATGTTTAATTTCGCGCAACATTTGATTACCGCATCGCGAGTGATTAAATTGAAATTTCGCTTTTGGGCCGACGCGGTCTTAACGATTTAAGAAAAACAGAGCTTTATCTCAAAACCGAGAACAAAGGGCTCCTTTGAGACGCTTAATTTCCGTAAATAAAGAGTAAACTTAATGGGTGTAGAGCGTAAATTTAAAGCAAAATCGACTAGTAGTAGATGGAATAAAGCGAGAGGAAGTAATTCGTTTCATTGATTGTTGCAGGAATGTTCAATTTTCTTGTTTGAGAAACGAAGCGCCGAAAAACTACATAAGCCGAAACGCAAGGAAACGGTGACGGAAATCCTGCGAAGCTCAGTGAGACAGCTCGAAAGATTTAGACATCCGAAAATACTTCACGTGTTGCATCCGATTGAGGAATGCTCGGAGACGCTGGCGTTCGCATCGGAACCTGTGTTTGCGAGTCTCGCAAACATATTAGCCTTTCAAGAGACTTCTGGAAATCAGGGTTCAACATTACCATCCGGTGCTTCGCAACAGCCGACCGTGCAAAGGCCGGCGCACGCTAGGGAGTACCAATTTTTGGATATAGAATATAAATATGGAATTTTACAGGTGAGTCTTTTGCTTTCAGTTTTGCATAATGGCGCACACACATTTTTGGCCTGTTCCGAATGCGCCGTTTCGAAAATTCGCAAGAGTAGTCCCTAACGTCATTTAAATCCGGTACATGTAAACGGGATCCTCTTATTCCCAAAGCTAATGCTGTAACCTTTTTTCGCTGAAAATGTAGGAGAGGTAACCTTATTCTGGTTAACGCCTCAAGAAATACGTCCTTTTTCCTTGTTGCATAAACCGTTAAATGATCTAATGTCTTTTTAATCTAGTTATACTATGCTATACTATAATACTACTTATATGGTGTTAAAATTAAGGGCCACGTAAGTTAGATGAAAAACTGTCAGAAGTCATATCAATTCACTCTCCACCTTAATTTACTCCCTTCTGTGAATTTTAGAAGCAAAGTTATATGAAGATATACAGATAAATTTGTGTCGATAACTGTTGTTGAAAATTAGGTCAAAAGTCAAATGCAGAAAACTATTGCTATTAAAAAGGCGCATAATTTGATTAGTATTACCACAGTCTGTTGTATTACTGAAAGAAAACAAAAGTGCGTTATACTAGGGCTGATATACAGATTCAAAATCGAATCACGCAGAAACTGTGACAACTTTAGACGATGAACCTGAATTTAGGACAGTAATTTTAGATTTAATCGTACGGATAGCAGTGTAAATTAGCATTTCAACCGATACTTTATTTTGTAAACGCCATTGAACTATATACTCTGTAACTGGAACGGCATCGCCCGTAATCAGCCATTGCCAGGGGCCGTGGCGAATTTTTGTGAGAGAGAGATGGGTAGAGGTAGGTATCCCTTACCTTGTTCAACTCATGTGGGCTTATGGGATGGTTTATACTACGTCTTACATTTTGCTTATTTTTGTCTAAAGTTATTAAGAGATTTGCAAGAATGGTCATGAATTGTGTTGCACGTGCAATCATTTTTATAATAAAAATTCAAATATTCAATTTCATGGGTACGTTTTGATAACATTTTTCAACCTCGACGCGCGCATTTAATATTTTTGCGCATGACGGCATTTGCACCGCTCAGATTTCTTTACTAAAGTACCTCACACTCATTTATACTGTCCTTATGAATGATAATTCTTATTTCGCACTCTTTAATACTAATTCAATAGGGCATTCCACTCTCTAGAGAGCATCATATGAAGAAAAGCGTGAGCGCCGCCAAAACCTATAAAGCCGTTTTGACTTACTAATTTGAATATGAAGTTCCTTATTATTTAATTTTTCACTCAACGTTATTATTGATAATTCTCACTAATGGGGCGAAAAATACCTTTAACGATTGATTTTTTATTTACTACCGATTCGAGTACCGATTCCTTCGGCCTACAATGAACGTATACATTAGGAGGCGTCAAAGTGTACAGATAAAATATAAAAATTAAAAGCATACACATAATACACAGGTATATCACAAAAGTTAGAGTAGAAAATATCACAGTTTGCATTTTCTACATCCATATCCATCCACTATGCTTTAATGGTGTAGAAGCAGTTACATATGAAAAACTTTTTTTATTTCCCTACGAAATATTGCGTTGAGCCACCATGAATGACATTATTGACATTATACTTTTGTAACTTCAAGATTCAAGAATCAAGTATGTGAGTGTGTGAGTGAGAAATGGCGCAGTTTACCACATTATTAAGTATATATTTTAAGATATTCCATTAACAAATAGATATTGGCACTTGTAAAAGCATCGACAAGCATTTATCTTTATCTTTCTAAGGCCCCAACCTCCCAGTTTATTTACTTATCTGTATTTTTAACCAAATACGTGTGATCGGTCCTGCATATGCAATACAAAACAACGTGCCAGACAAGGATGAGAATACCTACGTTATGCTGGTTGCCTAAAATCATTGCGGCACGCGATTTTGGCGCTCGATGCCGTTCCAGTTACAGAGTATATAGTTCAATGGTAAACGCTAATCGAATAATACTATCCGTAAGTAGAAACGTATGTTACAAACTTGTCGATATTGGAGAATGATCTGTACTAATTCAGTTGTTCAATAATGAAATTTCACAAAAGTGATTAATGGTAATGTTTGCTATAGGTTTCTCACTAATATGAGCTAATCTATTAACGCTTCCTTTTGCCTTTTCGCTGTTTTTAAATGTAACTTTTAACAAATATTTTGTATAATAGTACATGGGCATTCTGTTACCTACAATCGAACTGTGGAATCTATTGTAAACTAAACGTTTGAAATAAAACAAGATACAAAGAATCGCATACGATATTCAGTACCAGAATTTTACTTTTAATTTCTGCTCCTAGCGACTGCTCAAGAGGTTTGTGAAGGTGGAGCTTTGATAATCGAAGTGGAGAAAACCTGTAGCTTCGAGTGTGTGGGACTCGAAGCTTAAACTGGGAGGTGCACGTTCAAGAAATCTGCAAAAGTCTGAACACACTTCAGGTAATAAGAACGATAGGTCACCATACATGGGGTTGAATTCGAAAATCATAGTCCCCCTGGCCAGAAACTCCCGGAACATATTGTTATAAACAGAAAACGAAGAAAAATGGGAAAATGTCGTTTTTGTTCGCATTTGACTTCAATTATCTCGTCAATTACTGGTGTGAGAGAAAAAATGAAGAGAATCGAATTTTCTATAAGATACAGTTGCTATGGAACTTTCATTTTCATATCAAAAAATAATCCCGAAAATTAACAATTGGCTATTACTCTATAATAGGCCCTTGGCACTCTGATTAACAAAAATTATTCATTTTGATAAAATAGAAGCATCTCAATTGTTAACGGTTTATAGAATCGCTCGGTGCGGCCCGATTTGAAAACTTATTTTTGGTTGTCTCGAAAAGCAGCTCCAAAGTCGAAAGTTGATTTCTCGTAAACTATTCATCGGATTTGGACGTATTTTTTTAATATACGTCTTTCCGGTTTAAGGGGAAAAGACAACTGGTGGACTATGGCGAAATGCTACGAGAAACAACTTAATAAAGGGACCAAGTGGTAATTAGTAGGATGAGGATCAGAAACGCACATATAACGCGTGGACACCTCGGCTCCGCAATGCCCAAAGTGCGGGGAAGAGGCCAAACAGTTGAGCACATTCTTCGGTATTGACCTGAAAGGAAACAAAAAAGCATTAGAAAATGGAAGAAACAACAAATCTGTACTAGAACTATGCCAAGAAGGAAAAGATGAGGAACTAAAGGCTGAAAAAGGATAATGGATAATGTACTTACCCAAGTCAAATAAATATGGATCTAATACTGACCTGAACCGCTAATAGTCCTAGCAGCTGTAACGGTTTAAAAAAAATGAATACCTTTTATGTAGTCCAAATATTTTGTGGCTCAACAAGTAGCATCGGTGCTAACAAAAGAAGTTCGATTTTTTAACGTATGAGCTAGTATATTCCTTATAATACAGGCCCTTTGTGCTCAAACGGGCATCTAGCGGGAAAGTTGTGGGGTAGTTTTGATTTCTTTGATTCTATATGTTTTTTGGGGTGCTGAATCCGAATCTGAGGTTTGCCAACAAAAATTTCATGACGCAACATTGAAAAAAATACAAAAGAAGTTGAACAAGATATTTTTTTGGCAGTTTTGTGCTTACAATTTGAAACCTATCAACTTTTCGAAAATAACCTTCCTATTCAAAATGAAAGTACTTAAAATTTCCTACAGACCCCACTATTTAGTTTTTTTCCGCAAATACTCATCATTTATTATTATTTTATTATTATTTTGTGCAAATATAAATCCGTACTTTCCATTGTCTACCGGCCTCCTCAAAAGATTTTATAACTGTTCCTTCTGGTACCCACCCCACTCCTTCACAGATGAGCCAAGGCCCATTACGTCCCCGTAGTACCTATGTTTGCAGTCTCGAGGCCCTCCTCCTATACACATACATACACAAGCGCACAAAGTTACATAGATGGACGGACGGACAGTCCAAAATCATGAACTCGCGTTTTGTCGCTGGTTAACATGTAAACAAAGAAGAAATAAATCGGGTTCAGTTGTAGCAGCCAAATTTAAGCTGGGGTAACCTGCGTTACCCCACTCCGAGGTGTACGTGATTCTTCAGAACACCGGAGCAAGAGGGATAATGCCGTTGAATAGGAAATCAATATACCCCTTTTGCCATTTGAATTTTTTCCCAAATTCAACAATAAGTATCCAAACATGCTACGGTAGGGTTTTGTGATTTCTTTATCTGGTTCGGAAGAGAGTGGGAATAATTTTATATAGCACAGTATAAGTATTATATATTATAAATAATATAATAATATGATATACTGTTGTTCGTTAGTAATTAACTTTTCATACAATTCTGGACTACAATAAACACCTTGAATGTTATGAAAATGAGAAAAAACCACCCTTACATATAGAATTCAAATAATAGTAGGTAAATGCAAGGAATTCACTTATTGACAACGCTTAATATTAATTTTTAGGCTATCATCACAAAAACGTTGATTTTGTGGTCGCTTTTGCGGCCATAAAGTTTCACTTTATTGTACGCTTCTGTCAAACTTTACTTTATTGTACACATCTGTCAAACTGTACTTATTTGAAACTGATGTGTGAGAACCAGTAATCTGTTTGATAGAAAGCGTCTATCTGGTCTGTCCTCATCAAGGATTGGGTCCATCCACGTGCGTTTTTTTTCATTTTCAGACTTGTAGGAATGTTTCACACTATTTTGCGTAATCACAATGTTCACATTTAAAATTATAGTTTGACGTTTCAATCTTTGCTGCTTGCAGAGACCTTTTTGGAGTGTAGAACCAAAACATGAGGAAGATGTTATTGCTTACATGATTATACGAAGAATCACCAGCAATTAACCGAGAACACAAGTAGCTACCTATACCTACCATCAAAGTAGGTAATCAGGTTTCTAATAATTGTACGTTAACTATAAGGTCTTGGAAGCCACAGTTACGAAGGACCTATTGCATTTGACAT